AYRMKASSGMSAMCACCGAGMWCYACACTTCAGCAAACAAAAGACGACGACTGGCACTGCCTAGACTCAGGACCCAGTTCAATGGGAGAGACGTTCGGGGACATATCCCATACGTCGAGGTCAGAGGTCACGACTACACGGATGATAGTATTAGAAGCGAGAAGCCGGCGAGAAAGAGTGTGTTTCGAGAGGAATTGCAGACTGTTGCGGGAAGTGAGTATGATGGCGATGATGAGGGCTCTCGGCGTATGCGTCCTCGAGATGATTGAGATGATTGAGATAGGGTTAGGGTTGGGGTAGTGATGGAATGGTCGTCGAGCAGTTCAAACATCCACTTACAATTGTCATAACTACGCGCTGTTTCCAGCGAGGATGTTACGGAGTGTTTGTGGTCGTTCGAGAGCAAAGCGTCAAGTCCCCGAAGTCGTGTGTCTGGAAGTACGATGTCGTGTGTCGGTCGTTTTGGTCCTCTTCCGAAAATCTTCGGCCTCGTCGATCACGGGATGTGAAAACAAGGGACTTTCGTTGGTATAACATCTAAAGGTCTATAGCTGCCATGCAGCACCCTTGGTCATTGGCATTCAGTTTTGGTAAAAGCTGACTAGTTAGCGATGTTGACAGCGGTCAAGAGTTTTGCCCGATTCCAATTTTCAGGGGTGAAAGTTTTGATGCACCTTCGCTGCTTCTCGTGCCTTGGTGGGATTGGCTACAATTTTCGTACATCACACCTCGCTTTTCTACACGATATTTCCACCCCGTTTCAATCGCTCATAACGCAGTTTGATGGATCTGATGGAAGATATCGACGGCGCAATTCTGAACTGCATAGATACAGGTAGGAAGGAAGTGCCGACGAAGGCTATCGCGTCTTCTAAACGCGATATCGCAACAGCGTCGCGGAGAGCGTGATGAAGGTGCCTAAATTGCCCCGAAATATACAAGCCATTACACTACTATCTGGAGATGCCAAATTCTGAGAGCGAATTGTCTCGAGGGCCAGACGGCTTGAGTGCCGAGCATGAATCCCATGAAGATTCAAATCATCCACCGACGTCGAGATTTCATCATGAGCGTCTTCAGCATGCAGCAGCAAGTATACGCCTCCTCAAATTGGTAGCGGAAACCAAATCGAGCGACATGAGTTTCGAGCTCCGTGCCTGGCCAATCGACAAAGCTCCAAAGTACAATGCAATCTCTTACACCTGGGGCGAAGAAACCACCAGAACTATTGAGATCAATGGCCAGGCTCTACGGATCAGACTTAACTGCTGCGAAGCGCTACGCCAAGCGGTCAACTATGATGCGGAGACCTACCTCTGGATAGATTCCATCTGCATCGACCAAGAGAACCTCGTTGAGAAGAGCGAGCAGGTACATGGGATGTATAAAATCTACAGGAACGCTATGCATGTGCTTGGTTGCATTGGCAGGCATGCTGATGAGAGCGAGCAGCTACAGCAGTATTGCATTCTAATGTTGGGGTCCGATGAGAAGGATATGGTGAACGTGAGAACACCTTCCACCCAACTTCCAACATTAGACCTACCAGRGATTGCAATGGCGTTTGCAAAAAGTACCGATCGGGAGAGTATCGCGAATTTGCGGAGAATTGCTGTTGCGTTCGCGAACAGACCATACTGGAATCGACTCTGGATTGTACAAGAAATCCTAGCCGGTTCACATTCTGTACGCATTCTTTACGGAGACACCTTCCTCTCCTGGCGGCAGATATCCACAATGGTGGAAGTAGTGCAACTGTTGACTCCAGTCAGCAATAAACAGCAGCTTATAAGTCAAAGTCCACTTCGGAAATTGATGCACATCAAAGCCATGTGCGAATTCTACGGAGGGACTGTACGCCTCTCTCAACTACTCCAAGGACTTTCGGAGACAGGCTGCACCGATCCGCGAGATCGAATCTATGGATTGTTAGCTATAATAGACTGGAAGTCCATGAACTTGGTGCCTATTGTCCCTGACTATGAGCGAACCGCCTGGAGCCTAGCAGTCGAGCTGACTTCAGGACTAGGAGCACAGTCTTGTAGTCTGGTCATGAGCATGCTGCAAATTGGATCACATGTTCCCGAGATGCAAGCTCTCATCCAAGAACGTAGCTCGCCATTCTTTGTGATGAAGGAACGTGATGGCGAGACCCTCAATTTCGATTTCGGCGAGGTCACAGCGACGCGCCTCTTCGAAGACGATTGCGGAAACCTGCGCCTGGGTGATGATACCGGATGGCGATCTCGCTCAGAAGATGATGCTACTTTTTTGGAATCCTACGAGCTGATGATTTCGTMTGAAACTGGACCCAACACCGCTCGCAAGCCTCGGAAGGTATATTTCAATTCGCAGGCTGTTGTCCTCGTATGCAGTAACACTCTACCAGGAGACTGCATCATTACTTCTCTAGCTTGGAAGCGATTGTGTTTCATTTGTCGTCCAGCACAGGACGATGTCCTGGATGTGATAGGCACGGGTATACTTTTCTCGGAGAGAGATGGAAGGCAATCGCACAATACACTCTCCAGCGGCAGACCAGGTGAAAGGGTCAATGATACTCAATGGCCCTTGCAGTTCCAGGCTGGTCTGCACATATCGACTACTCCAGAAGATGTCATGCTTTTCTTCCACATGGACGCCGCTGCTGAGAAGACTTGCGAGCAGGCTGATGTACAGCTGAGGATCTTGCCCCTTCGGCCTGTTCTGGCTTCCAGGAGCGCTGCAAGGCTCATAGCCTACAATTGATGGTACTGGGATAGACAGCTCGCAATGCTCAATATTATTCATAAGATATAGAAATCCCGGAGAGCGTGCAAGGCCTGGTGAGATTAAGTTAAAGGCTGCCGCCCTAACCTGCAGCATGCAAAGATCTGGTACTTTCTGCAAACAAACGATATCTAGCACGATCAACAAGAAATCATTCGACATGAGATATGACTCTCTGCAAAGCTGCTTCTTTCCCTGCTATTATCAGCCACTTTCTAGTGARCCTTACCTTATCGTCGATTCACCACAAGGCGGGCCAAAAACCTTCAACGTCACCCACCTACCTACCTAAAGAGCATCGTGATTCATAAGGTACCTAGCTCCAACTCCCTCGCGGCATACGCCGAGACACAGACACAAAAAACGTCACAATGACAACCACATTCAATACATTCTAATTTTGTTCCACGACATTGCAGAATCGATCATGCACACAACAATGCATTGTGACTACTGCCTGCAGCAAGGCTTGCAGCGGGAAATAAAATAAAAAACGGTCAAGCTAATAAAGCAGCCCGCATGTGACACACACATACGCCCATCGGCCCGGCAGATACGGATGCTGCTGCTGCTGCATCCAAACGAGCAAGCGTCCCATCCCATGTGATGATGCATGCGAATGTACACAGGTACCTACATGTAACCTACTTGACTTGCGTGKGGTACATACATAACATACAGTTGCGTGTGCACGAGCACGAGCACGGCTTTTATGCGTCTTGGGACTGAAGTGCTCGTCTTCACTTCAGAAACATCACGTGGAGGAGTTATTGCGCAACATGTTAAAAAAAAGATTGTCATTGTATCGCCCTGTCCCACAAGTACTCCTCAGTAGAGGTTGCGAGCTGTAGTGACGGCTGGTTTTGTTCTTCTATATCCAAAAGTCTCGTGCTTCTCCCGCTTTCGTCGTTGAGGCGGACATGAAGGGTATCTATAAGCAGTCTGTTCTTCCCGCACACCAATGCGCCATTTATGCTCTACGCCAATCCCATGCAAAATCTATTGGGCATGAATGAAAAAGAAAGATATCTAGGCGGCCGCGTCAAGCGGGTTGCCCTTCTCGACGCCTGGGGTAGGGGAAAGCAATGCGAATTCTTGCAATTTTCCACCTACATATCTGTCAGTACTGTCGGTAAGAAAGAGGTTTGGGATAATCACCTGTAGTGTTGAGCTCCTGCTGGAATTTGAGCTTCTGCTGACGCTGGTTCTCGCGCTCAATGCCATGGCGCACTGCACCGAGAACATTCGGCACAGTTGCGTTGGGTGTGAACTTTGGTGTTGTGCCGGGCTGATATACACCAGTCTCAACCAAGATGGAATACCATCGGTTGTCCGAGTGCTTGTTGTATTCGTTGGTACCACGAATGTCAGACTCTGGTGTATCTCCAACAAAGTATACAGTCTCTGGAGGCTCGTTGATACCATGTGTAGCTTTCCGCCATTGCTTGAGCAGTCTGGTAGCAAATTCGAATGTTCCAATCTGAGGCTTTCCATATGCCACTGTGACAAGCTCCTTGCCGGTGACGGCTTTGAACATGGCTTCGAGAGACAGACGGAGAGCACCCATACCCAGACGAGTCAAATCGTGAGAAGCGGACCACACAATGTCGTTGTGAGAGAAGAAGATTGGTGGGCCCTCATCGAAAGTCGCGGAGCGGGTGCCAAGGTAGCCATTCTTGGACATGAGCAGGTCGAGAATGATCTGCTGGTCTCCCGCCCAATCTCTGCTGTCAGCAAAGACAAAGATGGCTTCGATCGAAGTCTCCTTGAAATTCCTTTTTCGGGAATTTTGGATCTCTTCATCGGTAAGTTTTCGGAATGGCGTGGTGTCAGGGTTATCCTTGATAATGTCGCCAGGGGTGACGACATCCTTGAAGCCATATCCCTCTGCAACCTGTCTGCACTTTTCGCCTTCGCCTCCAATGACGAGAACGGTCTTGTACTTCTCCGCCATCTCCCTCATGGGCGTGTGACCACAAATGAATTGTCCAGGAGAAATCTCAATGTCCAGCTGCTGGCTAAGCTGGACGCAACGCTCTTCTTCAGTCTTGCCACCACCATTGGTCACAAAGATGTATGGAATCTTGATGCCATACTCGTTCTTGCCGTTCAACACCTGCATGGCTTCAACGGCTTCGGGAATTGGTCGACCGCCGCGGATCAGGACACCATCGATATCAAAGGCGAATGCGAACTTGTCCGTCACTGATGTCGTTGGAGGCGTCGAGGGTGAGGATTCTTCTGATGCGTCGTCTTCGATTTCGTGTCTCGCCAGCTCCATGGCAGCGGCCGTTTCGTTGGCATCACTGGGTGCCATGAGATATTGTGGAGGCACAATGACCGTAGGCGAGCGCAGATTGAGTGCGTTGAGTTGAGCATCGTGAGAACTCACTCTCCGGACCTTCGGGCGGCCGGGAAGAACAATTGAGGGACCGTCGGACATTGTGACTGCTTGCTCGTGTGGAAGACAAGATTGAGGATGTAAGGTGGTAGGAGGGGGAATGGTCAGTGTTTGGGGAAATGTGGTCAAAGCAAAGAGACAGAAAACTGGAGATGCGGGACGCCGGTGGAGAACCTAGCGGTTGATATAAACCCAAAGAGTCGCAGACGGGTGTCGATGCAAAGGCGTGGTTGGTCGACGAAGCTCTTGCCGATTCATCGATTCAACGACCGCAGGCACTGCGGCGGCCTTACCCCATCCTATTCCTGGTGGGACCCACTACAGAGGTTTCAGACGCTAGGGGAAAGTGCATGTGAAAAGGGCTCTGCAAGACTGCAAGGACTTGTGTGCAGCGGCTTAAGGACGGGCCATAGGATAAGATTCGGTACGAGAATTGAAACATCAACGAGACCAGCATGCAGCGATGGACAACAGAATCGGTCGTCTTCCGCTTGGGTGAGAAAGTGCTGCGTCCTTCGGTAGTGGTCAATTTGCCCGAGCATGCCCGATGCAGGTGCGATGACGTTTCTTGGCGGTGGGGGTTTCGCGAATTTTTTGTGGTGCTCCTGCTAACCCCTCTTCACTCTTCACGCAGGAACCCGTTGCAGCGTTGCAGACCCTTTGCCTCCTTATCGGGTACGAAGATAACTCCGGGTCACGGAAAGTGACAACGTCTCCCCATGCCAAGTGTTGAGTGGTTATCATCAGCTGGCACTGTCTTTGTCTTGTGAGGTAGGTAAGCCGGTCACAAACTAGGGGAACGCGGCTAGTAAAGGCCACGTAGAATGCAGCTCGCTTTAACTCCGGCCTATCCGTATAATAACAACCTAAAATCTTAGATATTTATTACATCTGGACATTTGGCCTAGTGGTTAGGGCGTGTTAGGATTGAGGAAATGCTAGGTGGAGGCCTGGTTTAAAACTTCGGACATTATAGGGGTTCTAGTTGCCGGAGAAGCCTAGTAGTCTCGTTTCTATTACGAGATCAGGGGTTCAATTCCCTTAGTGTTCAATCTTCTTTTTGTTCCTTTTTTAGGAATATTCTTTTTACTATAAAAAGGACTTTAGTCTTTTTTACTATTAGGAGGACGTATCTTACTTATAATATACCTGTTCCTTAACGGATTTACTTTAAAATTTGATATTAATAGTAACGTTAGTAATAAAGGAGGGTTATATACTAAATTCTATATATATTATAGATTAGTAATGTTTAATACTAATCCACCTTCTCGGCGAATAGGCTAGCGACAGCGAGGTATATATTTAGTATATTCCGAGTAGGCGAGGTCCGTAGTAAGCATTCGACAAGACTCGTGTTAAAACTTAGAGTAAATCGGTCGAGAGACAGCTAAGTTCTAAATAAGG